AAGAGAATTATTAATAATTAGCGAGTCGAGCTATGCCTTAATTGCTCCTTTATACGTTAAATAGTCATGACACTTCCGGTGCATAACTCTGGATCCAGATTATCATATAATGGAGTAATTTGTACAGGCTATTTGTGTTGTCGACAACTATAATACTTTCATAAATCTCTCCCATATTTATAATTGTTTATGGCAATATTTAAGTCAACCAGATTCTAGACATTTCCCAGAACTTATTCAGATCACATCTGGTTGCCCCGCATCCCTAGTATTATGTTTGTTTGGTGCACCTATAAATTGACTAGGGTTTTTCGTCATCTGGACGAACGTCTCCAAGACATAATTATTCAAGGTATATCAAGAGTGACAATGTTTATTTACTAGATCTAGCATAATGATTATTATCTCTTACACCGATAGATCTCCTACACTTCTGGCATCAAGGAGTATCGATAGATATATTTGGTCCAAATTGGGAATGGTATATGGACCTAGTCACTCTTTTATGATCAATATGATCAATAGATGTATTTGGCAGATTATTTGCTAATATCGCAAATATATCATCTTCTGAACTTTCTGTTCAGTCTAACTAGTACATGGATTAAATAATGAAGATATTTTTATTCTATGGAGTTTCTTGGCATTCTATTAAATTTGAACTCTTATCTCCCCCTAATGCCGAGAAATAATCTTCATTAATTAAGTATGCAGTCAGCGTACCTAAGGATATGTATATCAGTCTCCTATCATGTGCTCTTGACATTAATTAATCAAGAGACTAATGCTTCTTTGGTAGCCTTTTTAGAGTTATGCTGTGGTGGTGATATATTGAAATAGACTGCGCACTATAAATAATAACGCAGATAGGGAAATGTTTATTTTGAAACCATGTACTATGTATAACAATCATAACAATCCTAGAGGGATTGATTTGTGATATGTAGTGAGTTAGATTTGGATTTAAAACAAAAGTATATCCCCAAAACAGATAATTCAATAATTTCTCATTCACACATGCTCTATAAAATACTCATGTGGGTAAGAAATTGTAATATCTAACTCATTATGTTTGCCCTCGGTGACCTAATTGGTCATGCCATAATTAAAAATTGGGTCTCTAAAATGTAAAGATTATCGCAACACAATAAGTTCTCAAATGTATATGAAATTTATCACAAGTGGCATATAAAATCAGATAGGGCAAGCATACACATTGAACAAAATGAATGAAAACATTTTGACAATCTTAGGGAGATTAAACGCCAAAAGAAGTATAGATGGTGAAAATTATCAAATATTAACAATTTGTTTGCTTCAGGCAAACCAACATGATGTGACTCACTTTTGGCTGTTAAGCACATAGCATTTTTGCATAGTAGCATAACATTAAAAATAGGAGTTGGAGACTTCATTCACGAGTCATGAGTCGTTAATCACACAAAGATATATTCAAAATCTTTCCGACCTTATTAAAAAAAATAGTCCATTGACCAAAACACATTGTCAAGTGGGGAAGATTTAGAACTCAAAGTTTATATTCCCACAAAATTAAGTTTTTGATGTCTTTTAAAACAATGACATTCAAAATACTTAGTATAAGTTCGTCATGCATGTACTGCTACTGGAGTACAAGATGACTAGTTTAGAAAACAATGAGACTCGCACTATGTACAAAGTGCTTATAAAGATTCACTTGTGTAACGATTATATTATACTAGTCACATTCAGAGACGAAATAAACATCCCAAATTTTTAAATTTGGTCAAAGGAAGATCATAACAATTGACCAAAGCAATCCTTCAGGGATTAATATAATATGAAATATGTGACATAGTAAAATGGACATTCACTAAGGTTTTGTGGGTAAATATACATTCAAAATTGAGAGCTTTAATTTTTGAAATCATAGGCATTAATATAGATCACCACATTTAGGACATAGCATTTAAATTGTTATTACATACAAACTAAGGTTTAGCAACGACAGGTGCACCTTAAAAAAAAATTATGTTACTGTTTTATGGTACACAATCCAAGAATAAGTTACCACATACTCTGATATGCTCTTAACAATAACTCTGGGTTGTAATGATCATATATAAGAGTTAGGTAAGTCTCAACATATATGGCCTATAGCAAATAATTGTTACCATTTAGATAGGACTTAATTAAATGGTCAAAAATTTGTCAAAAGATGCCAAGAGACAATGATGTCAATATGATGGCTCATATTCAGATTTCAGACTAACATGCTACTTCATATTTATTGCGTTTGTGAAGGTAATGAAACTGGCACAGTTATAAAGGAATGCCCAGTGTTATTTAAGCATGAACATTAAGTCAAAATCCTCTAGAGCCAGATATGAAGTTAATCTATAACAATTGAATATATTAGCTGTATTAGCCAAAAAAAAAACAGCAATGCACAGAAAAACTGCTGACCAATTAAAAGATCAAGACTTTGTGAATTTCTAGCATATATATATATATATATATATATATATATATATATATATATATATATATATATATAACAAGTAGCATGTATAATATGCACATATATAACATGGCTTGACAAGATATATCTCATTAAAATAGAATATGATCGAGGAAAGTACCGTTCACCGGACATAGCATATTTCACTTGATCAATACCTCCTGGTGCAAGTGTTTGTCCGTAGCATTTGTCAATTAAATGGATGAATGGACTCCAAACTGCCACTTCAGCTGCAGGACATGCAACCTCTCATGCTTTTCCAGCAAGCTTGACATGGACCATTTCCATCAGGCTTGTTCTCATCCATAGCCAATCATGTGCTCTTGACTATGTAAAGGACTCTATGTTGTAGCACTGTATAAACTTGGTTCCTCATCCACCAAATTTAACCCTTGCAAAACTCATCACCTTTCAAATTTTGCACCATTTTCAGATGCTCTTCATTCTTCACGTCTGTCAGACTACCTTCTGCGGAGACATATTCAGCCTCTTGGAGTAAATCTAGGCTCCAGCGAGCCACACAACAATCAGTGTTAAAACTTATGAGTTGTGATGGGCGGGCGTGTCCAACGCCAATTATCGAGTCGTAGTCCTCTGAAACCCTGAATTCTAAACCAATGGCAGATTAAAGTCCCCGAGATTTTCTTCTCGATCCCTTAATTTTGGTTTACGGATGAACGGATCGCCGGTCCTTGCCTTGGCTTCTCGGTCGCAAGACTGTTCACGAAGATCGACAGCCTTCTGCGTATATTCGCAGTCTTCCCGAAGTCCCGGCGATCCCGACGTCGAAGTCCGATCATGGCACGAACAGCACGGCGGCAATCGCCCCTCATTGCGGTCAACTGTCGGTGGTCAGATCGTCGATCAGCCATCAGTGATGCAGATGCCATCAGCAATTTTAGGTGCAGTCACCCGTCGCCGAAGTCTCAAGCGGTTCTCACCGTCGCCTCTTGTCTGATTTCATCAATGGCTTGGCTAGCGTTGGGGATGCGTTGAGAACGTCCGCCGCTGAAAAGGAAATCTCCTCCGCCGCCGGCTTCTTCGAAGAAGAGAGAGTTCTTCTGGACTACGAACGCCGATCGCAGGTTGCGGAGGTCGATCGCGACCGATCGCCACCTGTTCATCAATCACCAAAAGATCTGGTCACCGAACTGCGAAGTCCGGTTGCGGAGCCTCCTCTGGTCGGTCGGTCTTGTCTCGGCGGAGCCTGAAGGCGATCGATCCCATTCCATGACCGTCTCAATGAGGCCTTTGAGCCGAACAGAACTCCGGAAAAGGTACCATCGGCGCCGGCATGTGACTGATCGATAGTAGATGTTGAACTTAACATCATACAAGCGTCTTGGCGTTATTTTCAGAAAGAGGATGTAGAGCAAAGGCTGATAACGTGTTGTATTGTAGTTTGTTTGCAAGCAAAAACAATAAGAACAAGTAGAAGATAATAAAGAAAGAACAGAGGAAAAAGATTCTCATTACGTTATCATCTCTGTACAGCATTACATCAATATATATAACAGCTAATATAGAATCATACCATAAGTATCAAGCCGTTACAAATCTTATAATTAATGCTAGAATAATGTCCATATTTATATTTTACAACAGAATTAAAATTTTACCAAATATTCTTCGTTTGGATAAAAATATCATTCTCTTTCTAAATTAGAGTGATTAGACCAAGATCATTTTGATCCTTACACTACTTATTTCTATTCAAATCTTGTCTTATATATACCCAATAATAAAATTTGAATTCAAACTTTATTTCTCCTTATAAAATTGTAACTTTTTCCTCCATAATTTTCTCAGTACTATCAAACTTAATTCCTATTTTATTTCTCCTCATAAAATTACAATATTTTACCTTCTTAATTTCCATTTTACTATCAAAAGCAGTGAATTGAATGGTATTTCTCTAAAGTCATGAGCAGGCCCACCGATATTTTAGCCAGTCGTTATATTGTGGATCGCGATGCACGTGCATCGCAGTTAAATCGACGCCGTTAGTTTTAATGGAGTGCACATTTTATATATGTTTATTACCAACTGACACTATAGTATATCTAAACCGACATTGCCTCACGTATTATTTTTATATTATCAAATGAAACTGCAGTTATATCAAAATGATACTGTAGTTGCAGTGAAATGAAACTGAATAACATTTCACATATTTGAGTGTATATTGTACAATAAAGTTGTAATTATATCAAAATGATCATGTAATTGTGCTTTAATAAAACTATAGTCTATATAAAATAAAATTAAATAACATTTTCACATATTTGAACCTATAAATATCGAATGAAACTGTAGTTGTGTTGAACCGAAACTGTAATGCATACAAAATGAAACTGAATAACAGAGTTACTTTTTGCGAAATGATGCGAAACAACGGAAAACAGATGTCATTTCTTTTCATTAAACAAAACGACATCATTTTGATGCGCGATGCATAATCGATTATGTACCGCGATGCACGATATAATTTGCCTACTTTAGCTTGGAATTTGTGTTTAATATATTACAGCTTGCAATGCCAACCCTAGGATTCCTTGTTTTCTCTCTTTCTACTCCAGCCCCGGCGCCGCCTTCTTACAATCTTACTTCGTAATCTCTCACGAAATTTCCTTCGATTTGGAAGGCAATCCAAATCGCTCCATGGATTGTGTTGATGGTGTATTCGCTGTTAAAGGATTCATATTAGAGTATGAGATCGTGATTAGGGATTGCGATGCAATTGGAATATCTCACGGATAACTCCTATCAATAGGAATGGGTGGCATAGGAAATGATCGGTATGTATGAATGCTTTAGTTTTTACTTTAGAAATGAAGTATTTATTTTATTTATCTATATTCCATTTTGCAACATAACCATGATCTGAGATGGTTGAGTAAGGAGCTTAAGCATGATTGCAAAGATTAGTAGTTATCCATTTTACTCTTCGTTGATCTATTATATTGAAGAAATAGTCGTCCAAAGAAGTTATATGTTTTTATTTTTTTATTTTTAATTGTTACATTTTTTTAATCTATATTATCTTTATGTTTTTGTTAATAATTTAATTAATTATGCCATTTATATTTTTCAGATATATTGTACAGTGACAAGTATTTGCCAAGTCAATTTTGGAGTATAAGAATTTATGCAATGTATTCGAGACCAAATTATCTTCTATTCTTGGAAGATTGAATGTGCAAAAAAGCTCAATGGTAAGATGCAAAAACTTTTCTTAGACTAAAAACTCGGAGTGATAGAGCTTGCACTTTGTCAGATCACTAAGCCTAAAAGTCACTCATATTTGATACAGATCACTATGTTTATTAGAATAATAGAATCGGCTTTTAATTCCAAGAAATTCAAAGTTGATGCATCAGAAATTATGCTAACAATTGAGTATATGTGTTTTTGTAGTTGAGATTATTTGATAAATTTGTACTGGAATATAGGCACCATATTTTGTACTGGAAGCCGATTCTATTATTCTAATAAACATAGTGATCTGTATCAAATTATCTAAGTTGATGCACTGTACAATATATCTGAAAAAACTGCCTACGATTTCTTCATAGGGCACATATATTTATGGAAATATTCCAAAAGATTATGTCCAACAGTTTTCTAAATTGTATTATTCAAGTAAAACCTTAATAAATACAGAAAAAACAAATAATAGACATAGAGTTATTTCACTGTTTCTCTATTTTATGTATTTTCTGATTTTTAGTAGTAATTTTATCTAATTACAATATAATTTATCTCAATATTAGGGGATGTCGTATTAAGTGCACAGTGTGGGATCACCATGTTGAGATTGTCATGCATCATTTCAAGACTCATGTTGAAGGTCCTTCGATTATTTTTCTCCAATTTTGTCGAGCAAAACAATTGGACAGTAAGTGCAACCTATTTTTAATTGTGATATCTACTTTGATTATTTTTTCTATTTTTAAGCAAGTTTTTTCCTATTTGGTAGATGAAGTCAGAATTTCAAGTTCACAATGCTACACAAGTATGATTTAATCATGAGGGCAAGGAATTTCAGGATTTCAAAGATAGGTATTGCCACTTAATTTCTTTCACTAATCACTTATCCTAGATCAATTCTTACTTAATTTTAATTCTTTACTATTATTTAGTTTGAAGGTTGATCACAGCCCACCTAGAAGCATACATAGTTTGTCTGTGATGTCTTATGCCAACAGTGCAGAGAATTCTAAGTCTTGTGTATGATAGTAAGCACTATCAAGGATCTATATGAAAGTGCAGAGGTACTATGTTACATATTTTATGGTTAACATTTAGTTTAAATCATAATTTAACCATTAAATGGAATTTAATCTAACAGGAAGGAAACTACTGGGTTCTTGAAAGGATTGTGTCAGTTGAGAGTAACAGGAATTGGTACTACCATTCCTATAGAGCTGATGGCTGCTTTAAGAAGCTGCAGATGAAGGATGGATCTCTTATATGTCCAACATGTCACACAAATTGGCAAGAGGATACCTTAAGATACAACCCACAAATTGGCAAGAGGATACCTTAAGATACAAGCTGATTGTTAGGGTAGGCGATAAGACAACTGATGCTCCATTCTTCTTAAGGGACAAGGAGGGATGTGAAGTAGTTGGAAAGACTGTCTTTGATTTTAGGACCAAATACTCAATGATATTTGTTTTAGTATATATATATATATATATATATATATATATATATATATATATATATATATATATATATATATATACACTATTGAAATCTTTCCTATTTAAAAACCATTTTTTTTTTTCAGGATGACTCTCCACTACCAACTGGTATGGAAGAGGTTTGTAACAAGGCAATGGTGTTTAAGGTTTTAGCTAAAGTTGATCATTTCAAGAACCGAGCCATGTCTATACCAGTTGTCGGGATAACTTATGATGCAGATTTAGTTCAGCATTATTGTCCATCTTTGAGTGATGATCAGGACTACCTTTCCAACATGCTTGATGAAGATGATCAAGATGGACAGTCTGAAGTAAGTACTAAACTAATGGTCTTACATTTCACCAAAAAAAACTATTGCTTAAAAAGTATAATTTTTTTTAAAACAAGAATTTGAATCTGGAGATGAGGCCAGTAGCCCAAATGTGACCAAACTAAGAAGCAAAAGACTACTGAAGATTCTCAAGCACTGGAAGGAGTGGAAACAAAAAGAAATCTGATGGGTCAATTCTCCTCAAGTAAAGATGTTAAGAAATCAAACCATATTTTTATCAAATGGGAGAAGAATTAAAGTCAATACCATAATTTCTAAGTTTTTGTTTTAAGGATTTAATGCTGGACAATCTGCATTGCATAATGCTTTAGTTGTTTTGATTTGATGTATTTTCTAAACCTTTTTTGTTAATATGTACTAAGTGCATATTATATGTGATGGATCATGTGCTTTAAATCTTATGCATTAAACCTCTTCTAAACCTTTTTTGATAATATGTACTAAGTGCATATTTTCTAAACCTTTTTTGATAATATATTCTCTTTATGTTTTTGTTAATAATTTAATTTAAACTAATGTTGTATGCCATTTTTATTTTTCAGATATATTGTATAGTGACAAGTATTTGCTAAGTCAATCTTCACCGTGTCTCCGTGGGCCATCTGGTTCCCAACTCTCATCGGGCGTGGGCTGCTTTCATCGTCCGGTGTCTCGAAGTGGGCATACGCCCCAACCTTGACCTCTTTCACGCGTTCTTCCTTCATTTAAGGAGAGCAAGTGTTATATGGCGTTCTCGGCTCGGACGGGGTGAAGGTTCTCGGTAGCGACGGGATTTCAACAAGGTTTCAACAAGGGTTGGAAATCTTGGTTCGTGTTCATCTTTACTGCCGCGTCGCTCCCTTTTGAGGTTCTAATTATAAGAGTAGAAGAATTTATGTAACGAATTCGAGACCAAATTATCGTCTATTTTTAGAAAATTGAATGTGCAAAAAAGCTCAACAAATAATGGTAAGATGCTAAAATTTTTCTTACACTAAAAATATTCAGAGTGATAGAGCTTGCACTTTATGAGATCACTATGCCTAAAAGTCACTGATATTTGATACAGATCACTATGCTTATTAGAATAATAGAATCGTAATTCCAAGAAATTGAAAGTTGATGCATCAGAAATTATGCTAACAATTGAGTATATATGTTTTTGTAGTTGAGATTATTTGATAAATTTGTGCCTTATTTTCTCGCTACTGTGATTCAACAATTGTCCTGTGCGCTGTAACTTATGTTTGGAAAACCTTATATAATTTGTGTTAATATACTTGGTCCAAGATTGCAATGATGTATATAGTTAGTGTTAATATATTTGCGGAGTATTTTAAATTGGATATAAGTTTTGCCTAAATGAAAGTAAACAAGGAGAAATTCAAAGAGCTTCACGAGAGACGGTAGAGTAACGTCTAGTGCCTAGATGATTTAGGCGGCTAACTAAAACAAATGCACGTGAATGGGTGTATGTCATAATATATATATATATATATATATATATATATATATATATATATATAATTTGGATGCAGTGAAACCACCTCAATTAGTTGAGATTGTGACATTATTTCAACGGATTAGATTTAAGTGGCTTATGAAGTGTGATGTACTGGGTTTTAATAGGGTTGGGGGCTTTGTAGTAATTTCTCTTTGTAATTAATACATTACCTATTTTGAATACATATATTTTATCGGAAGTATCATTTGTGCACACGGTTTCATTGGAAATCTAGAAGTTTACTTTTTCACGTAACGCTTCACTCTCCTATCTTTGTCGATGTCGCTAGTTTTATGGTCGCCGTCGCTGCCTCGCCCATCGTTGCAACGTTCTAGTTCTCACTCGTCGTCGCAACATTCTTGTCTTCCATCTCTGTTGTTTTCGTTGGTTTTTCGTGGTTCTAGTTTCCGTCGCGTTGTCTCGGAGATTCCATGACTGACTCTTTAGTCTGTCGGTCAAAGTGTTGATAAGTGTCAAAGATACCACTCCATGCGTTTTTGTTTCCAATCCACGCGTCGGGCCACGCGGGTGGGAAAGTAGAAGTAGTCATGTACGCAGGGGCGTACGTAGGGGTGAGCATCGGTCGGTTACGGTCAATAACCGACTGAAAACCGAAAAACCGATCACCTTTTTAAATATGATAGAGAGTTAATTTTAGTAGAGATCTATTGTCTTTAATTGGTGATAATTTTAAATTTAGTCTCAGACTATCGTTTTTGTCCTTTAACACTTCAGACTATCATATTTTGGACACTTTTGACCATTTCGATGACTTTTTCGGTGAAACCATATTTTAGGCAATGGTATATTTGGCTCTTTAATTTTTTTTTATTATTTCCTAATGAGTTAATTCCAACAGAGATCCTTGTCTTTGGCGACAATTCTAAATTTAATTCTAGAGAATCATTTTTGTCTTTTAACATCACAAACTATTATATTTTAGATTAGACACTTTTAATTTGGTGTGTTTGATGAAATTCATTTTACGAAAGGGTATTTTTTTTTATGACAAAGAAGAGGCTTGGCGACATCTTGAGCTTTCCAACTACATTGCGAAATGATTCCCTTGCACTCGGAGGTTCTCATGTACTCGGTATCGCCATTGACGAATGATGATTTAGAGACGAATGAAGGAGATAGTGCAATACACGGCTGAAGAGACAAAAATCAAGAAAAATCCACGGTGCAGAAAACCAAAAATCAATTCTTAAAAAATATTGAAGTGAACAAAAATGTGCATGTCTAAAATAGAGTTTCACTGAAAAAATCATTATAATGATCAAAAATGTCCAAAATATGATAGTCTAGGTTGTTGAATAACAAAAATGATCGTTTAGGACTAAATTTAGAATTGTCATATAAGACAAAAGACAAGGAGCTTTCACTATAATTTATTCTTTAAGAAAATAATTTAAAAAATTGAAGAGACAAAAAATACTCTTGCTTAAAATGGGGTTTGACCAAAAAAGTCACCAAATGATCAAAAGTGTCCAAATTATGATAGTATATGATGTTAAATAACAAAAACAACAGTTTGAGACTAAATTTAAAATTATCACCAAAGACAAAAAATCTCTGTTGAAATTAACTCTAAAAATAAAAATTTCGACTTTTTTTTTTGTTTTTTTTTTTTTTTTGTTTTTGAAAGCAAACGGTAGAAACAGAGGAAGAACCAGCCGTCTGTGCAAGTACATGAACTACATGATTCACTAATCTTCTGACATGATAAATCGTGAGGCTCCCAATGTCTCTAGCAATTACACGTAGGGGTGAGCATCGGTCGGTTACGGTCAATAACCGACCGAAAACCGAAAAACCGATCACCTTTTTAACATCTCATAACCGACCATAACCGACCACCCTTATTCATATAACCGACCGAAATCGATTGAGTCGGTTTCGGTGGTAACCGAATAACCGAAACTGAGATTAGAAATTCTGCAAATTATCATCAAATAAAATAATAAAAAGGTCCATACTTCTAGGGGTGAGCATCGGTCGGTTACGGTCAATAACCGACCGAAAACCAAAAAACCGATCACCTTTTTAACATCTCATAACCGACCGTAACCGACCGCCCTTATTCATATAACCGACCGAAACCGATTGAGTCGGTTTCGGTCGGTTATGGTGGTAACCGAATAACCGAAACTGAGATTAGAAATTCTGCAAATTATCATCAAATAAAATAATAAAAAAGTCCATACTTCATAATAAAACAAGTTAAACAACACTGCCAAGTTCACAAGTTCATAAAATAAGCAATTTAACATAGTTCATACTTCCAATCTGCCAAGCAATTTAACAATTAACATAGTTCATAAAATAAGCAATTTAACACTACAAGTCACAATCTGTCAATCCATGCCCAAGTGACCAAGTCATCATTCATCAATCATCAACATGTTTCCAAATTCCAAAGCCAGAGTTCATCACCTGCTTGCATCAAAAGATAATCAAAAGTGAATATATGATATATGAATATGATAATTATTAATTAATACATAATAAATAATACAGTATAGCAGTACTAACTTACACAGTCAATTATATTCTTCTTGCATCTTGTTTTTCTAATCAATCACAGGATCCAAACTCAACTTTGACATATCTAAATCATATAAAAATACAAACATTACATAAAGAAAGAACAATAAGAAAATTATAATATTTAAAATAAAGTAATGATTTTGATACTCACCCACGTCAAATTTATACATCTCTCCAACATCATGCTCAACTAAATCAGTCATTGAAATGACGTTTTCATCTCGTAACCAATCTTGAGTGCACACAAGAGCTTGTACAATTTTAGGAGTTAACGAACTCCTATAAGTATCAAGCACACGTCCACCAGTGCTAAATGCAGATTCAGATGCGACCGTTGATATAGGAACTGCCAATACATCACGAGCCATGCATGAAAGAACGGGAAATCTATGAGCATTTTCTTTCCACCAACGGAGAATATCAAATTCACCACCACCAATTTGAGTATCAAGCTCTTCATTCATGTATTTATCCAATTCATTTTTTTGCTGCCCAAGGCCAATTTCAGCCAAATACTTTTCAAAGTCACTTACAATGTTTAGTGGACTTTTCACATCCGCATTAGTTGCACTCATTGTCATTGGTTGAGTAAAATTGCTACCCTCACAATGTGAAACTTTCACCAATCCATGGTATTCCATAAACAACTTGTTAGTCACTTCTTTAAGTTTAGAAGACAACACTGAAGCTTGATCAGGTGAATACATTCTCTTGAAACAAAAATCAGCAAACACATATTTCCTTCTAGGGTCAAGCACAGTTGCAACATAAAGTATCATATTCATCCTCTCCACATTCCCCCAATATTTGTCAAATTTCTCCTTCATTCTTTTGGCCATAGCACTAAACTGTTCGTCATCACTCTTAATCCAATCACACAAAGTACAATACAATTCACAAATTTCAGGAAAGTAAACATTGCAAGTCACATATGTAGTTCCAGAAACTTTCAATGTGAATTCATAGAAACGTTGCAAAAACTTGCTCACCTTCCTAACATTTTTCCAATCCTCTTCCTTGGGTGTGCCACTATTCAACACAAGCTCATGCTTATAATTGTGGTCAATCTCTTCAAATCTCTCAAATGCTCTTTCAAATTTTTGAGCCGCATCTAACATCAAGTAAGTGGAATTCCACCTAGTGCTACAATCCATGCTCAACAAAGATTTAGATTGAATTTTTTCTAATTCTATACATTCTTTAAACCTGTGCAATCTAGCCGGTGATTGCCTCACATACTTCACCGCGGATCTAACCCGAGCAATTGATTCATTCACTTCCTTCAACCCGTCCGTGACAACCAAATTAATAATGTGTGCAACACATCTCATGTGAATAAATTTGCCCTCTAATATAGTTCCACTCACATTGTTCAATTTCCTTTTCAAGTATTGAGTAGCTACATCATTTGAACTAGCATTATCCACCGTAATTGTGAAAACCTTGTCTATTGCCCAATCACGCAAACATTTTTCAATCATCTTACCAATATCTTCACCTTTATGACTATTAATTGGACAGAAATTAATTATTCTTTTTTGCAAGCTCCAATTATTGTCAATAAAGTGACAAGTAAGACACATATAATTTTCCCTTTGCAATGATGTCCAAGTGTCAGTGGTAAGTGATACCCTAAGTGAAGACATATGGATTAACTTAGACAGCTTTTGCTTCTCCTCCAAATACATGTCATAACAATCCCTAGCAATAGTCCATCGCGATGGAACCTTAAACCTTGGACAAGCAATAGACAAACATTTTTTAAAACCCTTAAATTCAACAAACTTGAAGGGGATTTCATGATTTATAAGCATTTCAGCAATACTCTTTCTAAGTGCCTCAGCACTATACTTCACACAACCTAGTGACCCTTCCCCTTCAAGCAATTCAGTTTGACTAGGGTCACTACTAGCACGGGGCATTTTCGGACAGGTTCTAACATGGGATTTTAGTGAACTAGTGCCGTTCAGTTTAGGATCAGCAAACAATTCTTTCTGACAATAATTGCATCTAGCTTTTTTCTCACTATTGTCATTATGAATTTTAGTAAAATGCTCCCATACCACAGATCTTGGTCGGCTAACCTTTCTTTTCTTAGTTTGATTTACTTCCTCATTGCCCTCAGTTCCAGCCGTTAGTGCAATCTCTGGCTCTTTTTCAACCGTATCATCATCCATATGCATCGATCTCATTGTTGACATCTATAATTTAATGAATGTAGGAAACGAGATCATTAAACATCCCTATC